TATTTCCTTGTTCATGGTAATTGTCTTTTATTCATGCTATAACTGTATTATCCGGAAATCGTAATACACGTGTGAATACATAGACCACAACATGTCCCTAGTGAGCCTCTAGTTGACTAGCTCGTTAATCAACAGATAGTCATGGTTTCTTGACTATGGACATTGGATATCATTGATAACGAGATCACATCATTAGGAGAATGATGTGATGGACAAGACCCAATCCTAAGCATAGCACAAGATCGTGTAGTTCGTTTGCTAGAGCTTTTCCAATGTCAAATATCTTTCCTTAGACCATGAGATCGTGTAACCCCCGGATACCGTAGGAGTGCTTTGGGTGTACCAAACGTCACAACGTAACTGGGTGACTATAAAGGTATACTGCGGGTATCTCCGAAAGCGTCTGTTGGGTTGACACGGATCGAGACTGGGATTTGTCACTCCGTACGACGGAGAGGTATCTCTGGGCCCACTCGGTAATGCATCATCATAATGATCTCAATGTGACCAAGTGTCTGGTCACGGGATCATGCATTACATATGAGTAAAGTGACTTGCCGGTAACGAGACTGAACGAGGTATTGGGATACCGACGATCGAGTCTCGGGCAAGTAACGTACCGATTGACAAAGGGAATTGTATACAGGGTTGATTGAATCCTCGACATCGTGGTTCATCCGATGAGATCATCGAGGATCATGTGGGAGCCAACATGGGTATCCAGATCCCGCTGTTGGTTATTGGCCGGAGAGCCGTCTCGGTCATGTCTACGTGTCTCCCGAACCTGTAGGGTCTACACACTTAAGGTTCGGTGACGCTAGGGTTGTAGAAGATATTAGTATGCAGCAAACCGAAAGTTGTTCGGAGTCCCGGATAAGATCCCGGACGTAACGAGGAGTTCTGGAATGGTCCGGAGGTGAAGAATTATATATAGGAAGTGCAGTTTCGGCCATCGGGAGAGTTTCGGGGGTCACCGGTATTGTACCGGGACCACCGAAAGGGTCCCGGGGGTCCACCGGGTGGGGCCACCTATCCCGGAGGGCCCCGTGGGCTGAAGTGGGGAGGGGACCAGCCCCTGGTGGGCTGGTGCGCCCCCCTTGGGCCCCCCGTGCGCCTAGGGTTGGAAAGCCTAGGGTGGGGGGGGGGGCTCCACTTGCCTTGGGGGGCAAGCCTCCCCCTTGGCCGCCGCCCCCCCTTGGAGATGCCATCTCCTAGGGCCGGTGCCCCCCCAGGGGGCCTATATAAAGGGGGGAGGGAGGGCAGCCACACCCCAAGTCTTGGCGCCTCCCTCTCCCCTGCTACACCTCTCCCTCTCGCAGAAGCTCGGCGAAGCCCTGCCGGGATCCATGCTGCATCCACCACCATGCCGCCGTGCTGCTGGATCTTCATCAACCTCTCCTTTCCCCTTGCTGGATCAAGAAGGAGGAGACGTCACGCTGACCGTACGTGTGTTGAACGCGGAGGTGCCGTCCGTTCGGCGCTAGGATCTCCGGTGATTTGGATCACGACGAGTACGACTCCCTCAACCTCGTTCCCTTGAACGCTTCCGCTCGCAATCTACAAGGGTATGTAGATGCACTCCCCTCTCTCGTTGCTAGATGAACTCATAGATTGATCTTGGTGAACGTAGGAAATTTTTTATTTTATGCACCGTTGCCCAACATCGTCTTCCTCAACCTTGGCCGCCACGGCCATTGCCACGATTCGTGCCACCCCGACCCTCTCCATATTCTCCGAGACTTCCGCATGAACCGCGGTAGGTTGTGCCTCCAATTCCCCCTTTCCCCCTTTGATTTGATGCCGTAGGACGCTGTCGACGTCGCTCCCGAAGCTCTGCGCGCCCGCACGGCCTCTGTCTGCATCGTGAGCCACCGGTTGCGCCCGCCTACGCATGCTGCCACTCCACAATGACACAAACCGACCTGCAACATCGATCGACCATGCCCTTAGGGCCATTGCCCCGCCGTCCTTCGTGTGAATAACGATAGGTGTCGTCATGCTTGATGTCAATGAAAAACCGTCAGCGCACCTTAGCCCCATCAACACTGGATGCTTGCGCTGGGTGCGTGATGCTCGCTGATGCCCACCAAACATAGTCATGCTGCTAATGGGCACTAGATCTGCCGCGTGTAGAGCCACCACCATCATTGGAGCATGCACCATCCGGGCTACCGCTTGTAGTCGATGCCACAATATCTGTCTTCGTCCGGGTTGTCTCTTGCTTCCTCTATTGTAGGAAGTTGTTGAGCCCCAAGTGCAGAGGTTTGTAGGTAAGGAACAATTTCCCTCAAGTGGATGTCCTTAAGATTTATTAAACCAGTAGGGGTATTTTAATAGTGGTCAATGATCAATACATGCAACAATTACAAATACTTCTCTTGTCCCCAATGAAACCAGCGAAACTGTCAATCAACCCACAAGACTGGGTGGTGGCCGATGTTATGCGCATTCTATCAACGTCGGGATAAAGCAGCTCTGTACTAAATCAGCGGCAATCAATAGTAATAAATCAATGACAATTAATATGGATCGGGGGAGTATATCTTTTGCAATTGCCATATGAAAATTTTATCTAGATTAGGAAGGTGGGGAAAAAAATCTTGCCATTATAATTTCATTACAAACTAGAATCATGATCATTTACACAACGTAGATCGGAAAATGAAAAATTTGGCAAAGATGATGGCGAAAGGGAGACTTGGCATAGTGTTCTGGAATCACATCTTTTTTACATGTTATGAACCATTGTGGTGTTGAGTTCTTTCCTATCTTCAGAACATTACAATTTTTTTATAGAAACACAGTTTTATTGTATGTGGGATTATAATTTTTTGGTGCAAATTTATGCGGTTTTACTCTAGCATCGCAAGAAGGGGGGGTTATGAATTGGTTAAAATTTGTTATTTTAACCGCTTTTGTATCATTTTGCATTTTCAGTCCATGAATCAACGTATTTTTCAAGGAACTTTAAATTTGTCATCTTGAATCTTCTACTACCAAAGAATTTGTCCTATCTCCATGTACAGTTTCTAGAAAGATTTTTTTTCTAGTCAAATCAATCAAATTTCAAAGCACACCCATTGATGTGGCTCTTGCTGTCAATCCTCTCTTGTAGGGAAGAGCACAAGCATGATGAATTGTCATCAGTTGGTATTGTAGATGCTGCCATGTTATTGTACCGATTCCCTGCACTCCATGTAATCTGAACAGCTCACCAGCAGTTGTTGTCGCCACCAGACCTTTTCAAGTAATTTTGTTGTTTGTTTTAGCATTATATTAATCGGTTTGACTTTTGCATTTTGTTTTTATAAATAGAATTCTACTACGTTTGGTAATCCATGTTACAAGCTAAGAAACACGCTTTTATTTAATGCATTGTTGCTTGGAAATTTTACGCATGGTTAAGTAGTGCATCAGGGTAAGACTAGCTCCAGCTCCGCCCCTGCAGCACTTTGTATGGGGTGCATAGGTGGCCCAACCACGCAGGCCCGACCTGAAAGTCCAACGTCTGATCCTGGTTCGGGCCTGACTTTTTGGCCCAAAGGCTGGGAAAAGCCCGGTGAAACATGATATTTAGGCTTTTCATATAAAAATAGATATTATAGTATTTATCCCTGATAATAGCAATTATCATTTTAAAATACAAAGAAAGGCATTATGTTGGGCTGCAGGCACCGGGCAGGGCTTGGGTTTTGCAGTCGGGCTTTTTAATAATATGCCCAGGTCTAGGTGCAGCCCATTCACGTTCAATTTTTTTAATAATATTTTCAAATATGGGTTAATAGTTTTAAAATATTTTTAACACATTACATAATAAAAATCTATATTAATATTTTTTTGAAAGAACTTTAATATTTTTAAAAAATAACATGAACATTCTAAAAAAATCATTGTATATTTAAATATTTTCATTATGCACTAAAAATGGTTGTTGTATATCTTGAAAAAATCATCGCACAATTTTGGAAGTGCAGATGTATAAAACGTATTTACAAAAATGAAAAATAGAATGTTTGTCATATATTTTAAAAAAATTCGTCGAGTATTTAAAAAAATATCCATGAATAAAAATATATATCAATCAAGTAAAAATAAAAATAAATAGAAAGGGAAATCCCCGGAACAAGAACAGGGGAAAACAACTAGAGATGGACAGAGAAGCGAAAACGCAGTAAATGGGCCTGGCTCATCTAGCACGTTATTCGTTGAGCACCACACCACCCCGCGCCGATTGATCGATCGATGAAACCCAACCCAACCCAGCCCAGCCCCCCCTCTCCTCCCTCCCTCCCTCCCCTCCTCTCCGGCCTCGCCCACGCGCCGCTTCTCGCGCGGGGAGAGAGAGAGAGAGACGGACGACGCGGAGATCGATCGGGCGA